CAAGTATGTCCATAAATAAGCAAACTACAACCAATTACCTCATAAAACTTTCATAAACCCCACATATATATATATATATATATATGAAATTGAACGTATGGTGTTTTTGGCGTCTGGGGACCTCAAAATGAAAAAGTAAATCGGTCCCGTGTCTAGGTCTTACCATGAGACCTACGGTAATAGTTTATTCCCTATATGGGAAATTCGCTAAAAGTACAAACTAAGTTTGTTGCTGTGAAATAATGTTACATACAACTGTTAAACCATGTAAATAGAAAGAAACACTTACCAAAAGCTAACCCCATATTTTGTTTACATCAAATATATTGTAGCATGAACTATTAAAAACTAAATACAATTAAAATAGTACCAAACTCCTAATAGACGGTAATTCAAAAACTAACCGGCTACAGCTGGTTGTTATAGATGGAACGTCTACTTCAATATCCGAAGTCCACGGAGCCATACACAGTTTGCCAGTCACCCTCGCTATCACTGGCGCTAACGACTACACACACTTCCTCTCTGCAACTCATTCATAGTATCGAAAGTGACTGTGTCTCGCCACAGGCGTTATGTGGGCGTTCGATTATAAGAATTTAATTTTACCTTTGATTATTTGTAATCGTAAGCATTTAGTTTCAAAATGGAAATATACTGAGTTAAAAGTGTTTAATGTCAGATCAAGTTAACAAATCGTAAATTTTTAACATTGCTGGACAATAATTATTTGTGCAACTAGTGAGAAAAGTGAGCAATTGACTCACTCGAGAGAAATCCTTACTCACGAGCCGTAGGCGAGTGAGGAATGGTTTCTCGAGTGAGGCAATTGTACTTTGCACTCGAGTTGCACATTATACTTTTCCTACAGGTACCATAAAACAAATAAATTGGTGAAGAAACATAACCTAGTTTTACACAGAAGTGAACTATTAATATAACATTTAATGTGAAGTGACAAATACAACAGTACAACAGCTGACCAGCTGATTTACAGCCAGTGCTGCCAACGTATTTCGCGCGCATACGACGTTGCCTGCATGTTACGCGCTCACTATTTCGTGCCTTCACGTTGCAAATCTGGAGTGAGACAAAGTAATTAGAGTGAGACAATGTTAACATTGTCTCACTGATGAGCGAATTGGCTAATTTGCTTTCTCAAATCAGTGAGAGAACATGTACATTGTTAGGTAACTGTAGGAAAAAGTTGTTGTTGATAATGTGCCTTAACGTTTACACTTAAAACATTAACTGTAGTAAAATATAGTTTGATTGAAACACATTATTAACTATATTTGAATGGTGACATAGTGTGTTCAGACCTTTGAAAATGTGTTTGGTATTTTATTTTTCCTAATTTATGTAAACTTGAAAATGATATTGATAATGTAAAAAAAAATGTTTATTCCATGTGCTAAATTATTTTCCCGTTTAAACTCAAAATCTAAAATAGTTTGATCTTGAATCCACAAAATTATAGGACATTTACATAACTGTAAATCATGTGTTATTTTAAACAGAACCTAACAATTTTAAAATCATTCTTTAGAAGAGTGGATATTATTTTTATCTGTTAGCAAGTATTGACAGTTTGGGATGTCATCCTACACTCATCTCCATTCAAATTTGGCTTAAAATACCTCATTTGTATGGTCACCATTTCAGAATAAAGTATTTAAGTATTGGTAAGTGTAAAAACGTAATATTTGGTTACAAGACTCGAATGCACTTCACGAGAAGAGAAAATGCTAAGATTTTAAAAATAAATTGACTAACTCCTTCTGTCAAAAAAGGCAAATGTAATTATATGAAAAATGGTTTGTAACAATTTAAATTACAATTGAATAAAAATAGTACAACCAACCCAAGAACCCTCATTTACATTCTATTTGCCTCAATCTGGAAAGTACATTTAAAAGATGTCAATTACAATCTTAAACTGACGTGAAAATGAATATAATGTCTCGCACTAAAATTCTTAAGCACGTGAACAATAAATATTTCTTTAAATTGTAAATCATAATGTAAGACAAATTTAAATTACTACGGAAATAATAAAATGAATTATTGCTGACAGTAGGGGTTTCTTATTCTATAACAAAACATATAACATATTTATAATACAGGCTCTTTGATATTTTCTTACCTCTCAGTATGTAAAACGCCAAAACTTTCCTATAGTTAGGTTTCAGTAATAATGGGACTAATTATGAAAGTCGTGATTTTTTTTTTATATAAACATGCAAAACAGTTTACAAAATAAATTAAGTACATTTACTGAATCAAGGATAAACATGATAGTTTTCACAATCATTTTCAAAGTAAATATAGTAATTGTACTATAATTACTATATTTAAGTAAATAGATACAGGCAACCCAGCGTGTAAATTCCTTGCTTTCACTTTTTTATCCAAGACTGAGCAATTCTTTGCAATATGATGCCAGATGAGTTAATGTTGTGCAATGCACAATTTTATCACAGGTGAGAGGTTGTTAGAGAGAAGTCTAGTGAATTGTCAATTCACAAACTAAGCTTAGTTAATCAAGCGACCTAACAACATAGAGCAAAACATGGCCTTTCGCCCAGGACAACGAGAAGACTGTATTAATTAACTTTGTGTTTATTAAAACTAGCAATGCCAATGCAACATAACTAACTTAACTTGGAAAGATACAGCAAAATTCGTTATATTTTGTTTGTTAATTTACTAGTTTATGTTTTTTGAAAGTTAATTTTTTATCTACTGTTATTTAAGCTACGTTCATTTTTGTACGTGTACTAGTTAACTTCTTAATGACATAGTTCAGTGTTCATAGATCAACAATACCAATCAATATTTGAAGTTCGTAAATTTTGTCCGGTTTAATGTCTTTTTTAAATGGGATTTTGGCACATTAACAAAATTAGATATCCATGATGATTGACGGTGTATTTTTGGTGTGGGACGTGTGTTTTGGAGTAACGGGTTCAAATCCCACCAATGGATGTGTCTTCTGGCTATATAGTAGTGTCATACCACGGTATACTGGAGACTTCGTAGATGGTAGGTATACAAACCAAGGAAAAAATGTTTTTTAGGCTAATAATGTGAATTAAAATTATTTAACTATTATTATATTTCCATTAGTCTAAATCATCAATGAATTAGTATTAATTGTTGTGAATATACAACTTTACACTATGATCAAGACAAATGAATTTTAATGACGATAGAGTTATATATTTATCAATCGAGACAGTTTCCATTCATAGCAGACGTCCTGGCCTCTTACTGATTCTCTTATACCCAATAGGGATAAAAGCACCATTTCAGCCGGGTGTAAAAAAACAGTCTTGCTCGCTGCAATATGATTACAATATTGTCTTTGGCCTGAGTGCATCATAATGTAGCACAAGCAGTAGCAACAAGTGCGATTTCCTCGTCACATCCCCGCACCTGCTACACGGAAGATTTATATTCTAACAATTTACAGTCTTCTTGATTTATTTACTTTGTACAAGGCCTACCCATGTAATTCACAGCAACGACAGAAAATAAAACTGACTCCTTTAACCATCTAGGAACATTTAAAGTAAACAGTTCCTTTGTTTTAACTGGACTTTATGAAGTAAGTACTTAAGTTTATGGCACGCTTCCATGCGGTAATTGCTAGTTGTTATAACCGTAAGACCAAACTAGTTGATTCCTACTGTAATCATCTGCAAGGGGGGATTTATAATCATTCTTTACTTTGAGTTTATAATGTTTTCATGATTAATGTTGACGCTAAGTGTAACCTAGTGAGCGTTTATTTACCAAAACCTTCCAGAGGGGAGGAACTGCATCCCTCAATAATCGCAACTATTGGAAATTCGATAAAATGTAATTACTAAGACAAATCATTTCTTTCAAAAATCGTGTAGCCCAAACGAAATTAAGTTTACCCATGATTTTAGCGAAATACATTTATATTGTGCATTTCTTACTTTTTAAGGTATGGCCGTGGAAGTTGTATTATTAAAATTATAATTAGAAATCTTGGAGTATATAGAGATACAGCGTCCCACAGTAGACAAACCTTTTCAATGATAAGACTTATTTTGGGCTAATTTTGGGGTACAAAGCCCATTTTTAATTGGGCTACCTACAGCACTCTGCAGTAAAATACTGTTGTTTTCTTAACTCCGAAGTTTAAACACGCCATACAAGTACGATAACTTTAGTTTGAACAACTAAAAGATCAACAGAACTCCACATGTAGTATATTATAAGAGGCGTGTACAAATATCTTCCATTTGAGTAAAAATCTGTTTAGATGACCCATAAATATCGGATGTTAACCACAGTATCTCAGTTATCTTAATTAAATTTTGGTTATGATGAAATTTAATGCCGTTTTATAATAATACATCTCTTTAGCTTCATAATCTTGTCATTCGTTTACTACTCCAGAGGTTATTTCGTGTAATAAACTGTTATTTATTGCAATCCAATGTATTAGTGTTTGAAAGTATGAAATAAATTATACATCATAATAGTATTATCAAGTAATAATCGGTTGTATATTTGTAGGGCAATTTGTATATTTTTAAGAGGTGTTACTTGCCTTTTACCTTCGACTACATATTACTGAGGCTACAACATTGAAAATTCATCACGTTAAACTCAGAAACAAAAAATCATTTAAATCAAGTTTATAATGTAGGTGGATTGCCACTCATAAGGTCCTAGCTTATTGAATAAGTATGGATTATTTTAAGTAACTAATTACTTAATTCTTCTAACTGAATTATGATGTATGTAAGTCAAAGAGAACCCCCAAATTAAATGAACAACACTACGTTTATTTTAATCAATAACACCAGCAATTAACAATGTCAAACTAATTTTAAAATTAGTTTGTAATTATATAAAACAAGCTCTGGCCTCAGCACAGCATCCCGCGTGTGTCTAAGGTAGGCAGATGCTTCGCCGCTGGAGGGGAGATTCCTTGTATAAATACTTTCACTATCAGCGGAGGAGGACTCTATCCTGAGGATACCGCCGCGCTGTCTGTGGATACTGAGTGCTCTATACATTGGTGAGTACAATATACACATCTCTATACACGACTATACAGTCTACATGTTTACAGGCCCGGGTCAAACTTAATTGAAATCCTACCCTGAACTCAACGTCCCCCATGGTCGTCAAGAAATTTCCATAATCATTTTCCGGGGTGGATTATTTTACAATTGAATAACAACTAGCTACATTATAAAAATCCCAGCCAAAAAAGCCAGCAGAGTAAGCAATTTTCGATTAGGCTGATTAGATTTTCACTAAAAAAATTACCTAAAACATGTCAAGACACATTCTCTACTTAATATATATATATATATATACATATATATATATATATATATATATATTGTTCCCGGGTCTAGATACTACCATGAGAAAAACGGTAACTGGTTATTCCCTCTATCAGCTTAAAATCTGTCAAGATATTTCTGTGATTGTATTGTTAACCTTTTTGGGAGTTAACCATTGTATTTGGTTTCAAATGTTCTTTGATTTGAGATTCAGAACTTAAATCAAAGTAAATGTTAAACAATTTGTTTAAAACATTTTATTCGCAATCTCTACATTGACTATCTCTACTTCCATCAATAGAAACCCAATGTCCTAAGGTCTAGCCCATGTCCATGTCCTTAAGGATTCATGCAATTATTCGTGTAATCCGGACCTGTAATAATTATATTCTAAAACGGTGATTACCTAGAATTTCATTACTCTTCTATTGCTTTATTTAATTATATAACAAGTGCAAGTCTGCAGTATAATTTTACTCCTATTATTTGATGTTTATTGGATACAATGATAAATTAACTGAATAAATACGTAATATTAAATTATCCCGACCAGTAGTTTCAGGACCATACTCGTTTGAACCTCACAAATGATTTAGAAAAGAGGGAAAATGATTATGTGCGTTCTAAATTGTTTAGTAATTCGAATGAGAAAAGATATCGTGTATGAAATTCAAGACATGTTGGCAAAAATGGGCAAAATTTGGCGACACCAATGACTTTCTAGTTGCTTAAACGTCTAGTACAGTAAATGAAAATACCCCCAGAAAATCTGCGGAATATGTTATTTTCCACTTTAGTGATTAGATTTTCAATAAAATATTTCATTTAACACGATAGATTTATTCCCTATTTAATAAAATTCTACATTTATCAGTGTACCACTGCTACAAAGGATGTAATAAAGTGTGCTTTTAGTGAAACGCTTATAGTTTAGTATAAAATAATAATGCTCTTGTCAAATAGGAATTTTACATCTAACATTTATTGGCATTTTCTTTAACCAATAACATTTTTATAAAACAACTCTAATATGCTTAATTATTTATTTTTTTAGATCTACAAAATTATACAGAAAATTGCGAACTTTATATTTATAGGGTAAAAAATGAGAAAGCCTACTTCTTACCCCATAAATATCCGTTCCTGAAGTCATACCAGTTGACGAACTCGTTTTAATAAATGTAGGCTTACATCGGTCCCCGGTGTAGATTTTACTATAATAGCTACGGTTATAGCTTAGACCATATTCGTTAAAAAGGACGTTTTGGTCTTAACTAATAACCAAATATTATTAACGTGTAAAAGCGGAAATATAAATATTACAGGTAATTGGATTATCGATTAATATTTTCTCACTTCTTTAAAATCATTGAAGTATAAGATAGTGCATATACGTAGCACGAAACCTAAAATAAAATATATTCTACATAAAATAAATGCTTTATTTTAATAACCAAACTAGGAGCATTTCTGAATAAAATATGACAAGTAGTACGGCGCGGCTAGTGTAGAGCAGTGTGTAGTCAAAGTTGCCTACTTCGAGATACCACGGCGCTCCTGTACAGGCTGCAGGATATAATAACGGTTGTTAGTCAAAGATATCCAGCAATAAATCCCGCATTGAAATATTACTCTTATAACAGTATGAGAATGAAATCAGCACAAGTATTTGAGGATCGTGTACCATTTATAAAAAACATACTGTTCTGTTGGTCGTAATAATTCTCACGCAGCTGTGCATTTAAGTAAGATTTAATAATTAATTGTTTGTATCTCTTTATTTATTTGGTAAAATACATATTGCGTGTAGCAAATTACTTACATTTATATGGTCGCCATTTCAATAAAAGTATTATAGTGTTAAGCTTATTATTTTAGCTATCTGTTTTTCAAGCCGTTGAATAAATAATATTTTGATTTAGTGGCATCCATCCCCATTAGATGTTTTATAATAAAAAAGTCGACTTTCAAAAAACATCATTGTTTATTCAATTTTACAAAAATGTCGTGATGAACTGAAACAAAACTGAAGGGTTTAGTTTATTTTGAGGTTAACCTCATAAACGAGTGACCTAATTTCACAACGGAATCAAATTAAATAATGTTGGACCGAAAGATCAAAACACTTAAGTGATATGAAACAAGTTCATGAAAAATCACAGTTCCAAAGTACAACCGGTAGTTACTCAAACTGTTCCTAATGTCCTAGACAGACTCATTATTGTTGTAACGAGGTCCAGCAGACAGTTGTGTAAGTTATGGACACAAGAACACCAGAAGAGGAACATTAAGATCAGTAGAACATCGCCCATGACTAGATGAGGTAGTTCGTGACATCATGTACCTGCTTATTATAAGGGTATTCTAAAGCGTTTTTTACAATGAGCGTTAACTTTGTCGCTAGTAAACAAACCTAAGCTTAAACTATATTAAAATTGCTTATTACAATTTGTACGTGAAATTAAATATCTACAACAATATGTCACTGAACAAAATTTATAGAATTTGAAAAAAAATAGTACTGTAAGTAAAAAACATACATATCGTGAATCACATACAACGCTGGCAGCAAAAAAATAAATAGTACTGTAAATAAAAAACATACATATCGTGAATCACATACACCGCTGGCAGCAAAACCATGGCATTACGCCAATAAACATTTAAGACCCCTTAGATACTTCTGAGTTTAAATATTTGGTTTCTTGCTTTTAGTTTCATATATTTGCCACCCTCTAAAAATGAATAGTTGAATTTTTAAACTTAGTAATGTAAGAAATCAAGCACAATAAATATTCCAGAAACTAATCTCATCAACACATTTCCACTGATTCTATTACTTTAAAACGTAATTTACTGTTTTATAAGGCCATGCGACCGTGCGAGGGGAGGTCTCATACAACCGCTTCTTTGCATCACTTATGTAACATGAAGCCTAGCGGTGACGCAATCTTGGAAATACCATCGGCTCTTCGTTCACAATGATTTATCAACTTTATGAAGAAGCCACTTCTGGGTCTGGGGGTAATGATGGCGGTGACCTTTGCCCGCCTTTCCATCTTGTAGTTGGTCACCTCGGGTTGACTTTATCGAGAAAGGTTAAACAAATGATTTTAAACTGTCGGCTATAGGTTTACTAAAGATCTTCTTTTGTAAGTAAAATCCGCTTTCCTTGTAAATTTCAACGGTGTATGGCCCAGAATAAAAAAACGGATCTTTTTAGTGACTTCATAAAAAAAAGTTGTATTGTAAGATTTTCGAACAAACCTTTCCAGAGGAGAAGGGTGTGGCTAAGCCAAGACATTTGTTGTTATTGTAAACAGTATTATTTAAGTAATAAGTGTATTTTATTTTTTAACTTAAACAAAATGTTATCCCTAAAACTAATATAATTGTCAACTGATATTTACTAATTAACAAGAAACTTGAAACTGAACTACTGAACTTTACTCAAATAAATTATATACACGCTTCCACACTAAAACTTTTAACTGGACAAGAAAACCTCGTTCATTATTATTTTCGCCTCAAAGGGGACGTGCTTAATTTAGCAAAATGTCTATGAGCACTTGAGCAACGTAAACTACTCAAATGATTTTTATTTATTTTAAAATAATTTTAACGTTATGTAATTGCAAAACCTTTTGCCCTGTAGGACAATATGTGACGCCTGATGGTCAGGCTAGATTTGTTATGTCTTATGTCTTTACAACCTAGGGCGCTAGGCTCAAGCCCGGAATTGTTTTACACATGACTTAAGACTAGGCCAAAAGGGTTGCGGCATTGTCGCCTTGATAAAATCCATTGGTGATTGGTGGGATATGAACTCGGGTCCTCGGGGGTTGAAGGTCCACGCTCTACCACTAGCCCTGCGTCCTCCCCAATCAGGTTCACATTTGTACATGTATTATACATGTATAATGAAATAACTGATTAAAGTCAAAGCGGTATTACGCAAATTTGTAATACTGAATAAGTTAAGTAAATGCTTGAAAAGGTAATGGAACCAGGGCTTCAGTTAGGGGTTTCTTATACATAATTTTTTGCATAATCAGTAGTCGTTCCGTCGATATGGTCCATCGGGATTAGAGGTTTACTCGGAGAGAACAAAGGGGAATAAATATCTCATAGAATATAACTTATTTTAAAGTGCTTCTAATAAACTTCTCTTTACTCGTTTCATTTTTCATAACTGGGTGCAATTTTTGATGGAGGCAGATACTATGGATTACATCCAGTTGATCTTTTAAAAATTTGAACAATGGCAGAGTTGTATACTGTATTAACAGTGTAGAATACTGTCCTGTGGTTCAATTGAGCAACATACAAATAAATTTTAGAATATTTGGCACCATCTAATATCGGTGTATAGGTTAGCTTGTCTTTTTTGTGTTCGTTGATTAAAAGTCTGTATCTAATAAACCCCCATAAATACAGAGATTATGAAAATTTGGAAACAAAATATATAGCCGGGACGTGTAAATAATTGACGGTATCTGATAGTTAAGTGGCGTATGCTAATGGCGGTATGGAGCTAAGGCGGCGATCACGACATCGGGTGACTGATGGCGACGCTTACACGGTACAATGTCGGGTTGTATCATAGACAGCGGTCACTGATGACAGTTGAATTTAATTTCGCATATTTTACTAGGAATAGGAAATTGAATTTAGGGAATTGAGTTAGTTGCATTTTATTATTTAAGGGTTAATTTATGAAATTTTCCATCACGATTAACAAAAAATAATCCAATTGATGTTCTCAATTACTTCTTTGTTGAACTTAATAAACTACTGGTCGTCCAGTGGTCGAAAACTCAACGAAAAATATGTAATGTACGGGCTTCTCTATGTCCTCCCTACGCTGTAAATGAAACATGTGATTGTAATTTATTCCATTTGTTTTAATTTTCTTTTTATATTTTTTTGTTAAATCGTAACTAGCATGGCAACCCATAAGGCCCATGTAGTTTTTTCCCAGCGATACACACGAGCTGAAAAAAGATTTAAAAGAAACATGCTTACCTATTAATATATGGATGCGAAGGAATTAATAAATAAATATCAAAACATATTACACTTTCATAACAATGCAAAGCCTCACTTGTCCTCGACCCCGAAGCATATACAGTACAAATACTGAGAATTTCGCTCTCACACGTGGGAAACTATAAAACCACCAGAATACCAGATTAATATGAGAAGCAGATTGACAAACCGTACCGCATTGTGTATGGAAGCAGAGTTGTGGAGCTGCACGTGAGTCTAGGATTCTCACGGGCGACCTTCATCTCTTATCTCATACACCATCAGCCTACGGTCATAGACATCGTGACATATATCCCATTATCACTAGGTTTATACTTGATCAGAGTGGATCTTTGAAAGATAAAGGTGCAGTATACCTGTCCACAGTATCTTGACAACCCCTACTTGGGCAGATACAGTACTGTAATCATTTATGTTCCTATGAGTCTAATGTTATTCAAATGGAGACAGTGTTTGAAGTCTTTAATTGTTCTGGAAGAACTCTATTCACTAGGGTATTTGTTGGGTCATTGATAACAATTGCTAAAGGTTAAGGGGTCCATATTTCTTTAAGAAAGAATGAAACCCTATCTACACCCGCAGATGATCTAACCCTACTTCATACAGATGATATGGCCTTGTCCACCATGATATACTCGGGAGTAATGACATTTGCAGGAAATTTATTGGAAGTCGCTCTATGTGTGGTTAGGGAGGGAGTTGCAACAAAATCCCCTGACTCTTGACCTGAGCAAAATAAAGAGTCCACACTATGTCCCAATCCCCTTTCTTACGAACACTCGACATTTTATTGTTATATGCCTATTCTGTATACACATTTTTAACAATATTTGTTGTTATCAAGAGAACCAGAATCCGGAGAAAGCAAGGCAGTTTAACCTAAAAAGCACAAACAATAAATAATGACAATTATGTAACCTTTATTATTTCATAAACATATATTACTATGCGTTTGAATTTAAGGTAAAATACCTCCCAATGCAACAACCCTACAGTTTTATGAAATTGTTATGTCAATGATTGATTATTTACAACAACAAAAAATACGTCAGATTTATACTCTATTCAAATAACAATAGGTTTAACATGTACTTGTTTGCTGCTAAAGGGAAATAAATAAAGTTTTTCTTAGTTAAAATGTTTTTTGCTTAGTAAGACAAAATTGCTAATTAAAAAAATATATATACATTTGGATGAACAGTGTGTTTGGTCTCTGGGGACATCAACACGAAAGTGTATGTCATACCATAAAAACTAAGGTAGTATCTTATTCTTATTCCCTTTAGTTAATTTGCAAGAAACAGAAAACGATATACATATATACAGGATCAATCAATGATTTATTAGCTTATACTATAGCCTTGTAGCAGATAGTGATCTTATTACCTATGTTTCAGAGTGTGAGCCGATGCGAGGCAGGCGGCCATGTGGTTGCCGATACTTCTGATAGTATCATCATGGCAGGTCAGTCTATACTTAGTTTACTTATCTAACAAAGCATACATAAGGTAAACATTTCCGTAGTTTTAAAATTATTGAATACTATAGGTTCTACACGATGTAAATCAATATTTGTTAAAAGAAAATAGGAGAAGATAGAAATGACAATAATATCTTTGTTGTTCTGCACACACATCCTCGGCCTAAGATTCAACTTCTGTTTGTGTTTGTTCAACTCTTGCGCAATTTCGCACGTTTCGCTTGTCGACGCTCCTTACACAACTGAGGGTCCTCCAGTCTGCCGACTTGTGTATTGACAAGTGATTAGTAATTATCGCTGGGATTTTCGAAGGAAGTTCTGTAATGCAGGTAACCTTTCTCGTCTGACGCACTAGATATGTTTTATTCATATAAAGATCCTCAGCTTCACCAGGCATTGCTATACCACGTAGCTTTAAGCAGTTGGTGGTTGGTGTTACTTAGATACTGGCCTTATTACTTGCTGCTGCTATACAAACAAGGAGGACAGATGGATTAAACTCGAAAAATCGTAAGAACGGGTTACTGTACTTGCACCACTCTTGCAGTTTCGTAACAGTTTTCATCTGGAAAACATAAGTACAGTTATTTAGAGGAGACAACAAAAGGATTGTTCTCGGTTGGAATTGCTGCAACAGCGGGAGTGAGTAGGTCCATTATCACATTACAGTACAGGTGGGTCCCAGGTCCGGCTGGGGTCAGGAGGTACAAGGTTGTACCATCTGTACGTGGCCTTAGCGGTCCAGAATATCTACACCTGCATGTATCTGTGTGATCTGCCATTGTAGGCTGGAGTGAGTAGGTCCATTATCACATCACAATACAGGTGGGTCCCAGGTCCGGCTGGGGTCAGGAGGTACAAGGTTGTACCATCTGTACGTGGCCTTAGCGGTCCAGAATATCTACACCTGCATGTATCTGTGTGATCTGCCATTGTAGGCTGGAGTGAGTAGGTCCATTATCACATCACAATACAGGTGGGTCCCAGGTCCGGCTGGGGTCAGGAGGTACAAGGTTGTACCATCTGTACGTGGCCTTAGCGGTCCAGAATATCTACACCTGCATGTATCTGTGTGATCTGCCATTGTAGTCTAAAGTGATTTTTTTTTTTTTTTTTTTTTTTTTTTTTTAATAGAGGGCCAGGCTTCAAGTAACCATGGGATTGCGACGCAGCTAGAACAGCTTATTGTGCACCCTCATTCACAGGTCCTCATTCTTTGTCAAATCCCAGGTCCTTTGTGAACCGTGAGATCCTTTTGACAATGGTGACCCGTTCTTCCCTTTGATTTCCAGTCGATAGGCCAAGGGATCTCATGCGCAGACCTTGTAGGGCTGGGCACATAAATATCACGTGGAATGCTGTCTCCTCCTCCTCTCCACATTTCCTACATAAGAGGCTTTCAACTTGAATTCCTATCTTGTGTAAATGTCCACGGAATACCCAATGGCCGCTAATAAAGCCAACCACCTTCCGCAGGGTCTTCCTACTCAGCCCAAGGGCTTCTGCCGCTATCGCACCTGTAGGTGCCTTCAGCATTCTCTTTGACTGTACATTTCCTTCTGTTCTTTCCCAGTTCCTTTGATGTTCTATGCCCATCCACTGGCGAACAGCTCTCCGTGCTGTGTTGTAAGCAATACCACACGTCGGCTCTGGACCCATGAGCGGGCTTTCAGCTCCTTTGTTTGCCCACTTGTCAGCTCCCTCATTGCCAGCAATACCTTTGTGCCCTGGAACCCAACTAAGGATAATCCTGTTGGTCTTTCCCAGGGCTTTCATGGCTTGATGACAGTCCCATACAGCCTTGGAGGTAAAGTCGAAACTGTCAAGTGCCATTAGTGCTGCTTTGCTGTCTGAGTTCATGTATATAGTGTGGCCTATAAGACCGCGCTTCAAACACACTCTCGCACACTCAGACAGGGCCACCACTTCTGCCTGGAATACAGTGGCCATTTTTCCCAAACTTACGCATAACTGCACCTTGGGTCTGACTCCATATATTCCAGCCCCCGTGCCCGTTGGCTTTTTTGAGCCATCCGTATACCAGGTGATCCCCCTTTTCATGAATTCAGGTTCACCCTTATCCCAGGCATCCCTGTCAACAATGTTGACATTGTATGGCTTTTCTAGATCTGTGATCTTCACCATCCTGTCTGGTAGCATTTCCAAGGAGTTCTTTTGCACCTTGTCTACAATTCTTGTGTGCTCACTGGAGGCATTATACTTCCAGTTGCCACTACAAGCCATTCTGTAGGCTGCCATCCTTGCCTCTCCTTTCACAATGATGTCGAGAGGTGGCAGGTTTAGCACTACTTCCAGGGCTGCAGTTGGAGTGCCTCTCATGGCTCCTGTGATGCTAAGGCATGCTACTCGCTGGATCTTTTGTAGCCTCTTTACAGCGGTAGTTTGCATTACCTTGGTCCACCAGACCACCGAGCCATACACCATCATCGGTCTTGCGACCCTAGTGTATAGCCAGTTAGTCATTTGTGGACTTAGACCCCAGGTCTTCCCAACAGCCCGCCTCATCATCATAAGTGTGGTCTGAGAACGTTGCGTTATATGTGCCAAATGGCTGTTCCAGGTGAGCTTGTCGTCCAGCCTTATTCCTAGGTACTTGAACTCCCTCTTAACCTGGATCTGATTACCGAAGAGAGTTGGTACTCTAGCGATATCAACATTTCTCTTCCTTGTAAATGGTACCATTACAGTCTTCATTGGATTGACCCTCAGACCTTCCTGGTTACACCACCTCTCCACTATGGACAATGCCCTCTGCATGAGTTCCAGGCAAGTGTTCATAAATTTTCCTCTTATTAGTACAACAATATCGTCAGCATATCCTTGAGCGTACATGCCCTGTGCATTGAGCTCGGACAGGAGATCGTCAACCACCAGATTCCACAGATTTGGTGACAAGACGCCACCCTGTGGACACCCTCTTTGGGCCTTGACCTCTCTCACCGTCCCACACAGAGAAGCTTGCGCTCTCCTACTTTCGAGCATGTTGCCTATCCACCTCACTACAGTCTAAAGTGATTGGGTCCATTATCACATTACAGTGCAGGTGGGTCCCAGGTCCGGCTGGGGTCAGGAGGTACAAGGTCGTACCATCTGTACATGGCCTTGGCGGTCCAGTACGTCTACACCTGAATGTATCTGTGTGATCTGCCATTGTAGGCTGGAGTGAGTAGATCCATTATCACATTACAGTACAGGTGGGTCCCAGGTCCGGCTGGGGTCAGGAGGTACAAGGTCGTACCGTCTATACGTGGTTTTGACGGTCCAGTACATCTACACCTGCATGTATCTGTGTGATCTGCCATTGTAGGCTGGAGTGAGTAGGTATATTATCACATTACAGTACAGGTGGGTCCCAGGTCCGGCTGGGGTCAGGAGGTACAAGGTCGTACCATCTGTACGTGGCCTTGGCGGTCCAGTACATCTACACACCTGCATATCTGTGTGATCTGCCATTGTAGGCTGGTGTGAGTAGGTCTATTATCACATTACAGTACAGGTGGGTCCCAGGTCCGGCTGGGGTCAGGAGGTACAAGGTCGTACCATCTATACGTGGCTTTGGCAGTCCAGTACATCTACTCACCTGTATCTGATAAGACGTTATAGCGATAATAGCCAGCAGAGATAAAGGGCATAACATATTTGTAAGCGAATTATAAATAATGTGCAGAATAATCAGTTCACTAGCCACAAAAGATACACCTGGAACAGTGGTAATTTACATACCTTTTTCACCGCGAAAATGCTTATTTCATATGGAACTAATATTTATCAAGTTTTGACCAAAAGCAATGCTGGTAAAATGACAAGCCTCCCTAATACCAATCGGGTGTTTCAAAATTAATAGCCAGGTTTTAACGCTTTATAACTTTTATACTATTAAACTTACCGCTATAAAACACACATCAAATGAAAAAGCAACTCAAAGAGATGATGTCTTCCAAAGACACATTGTTTAACAAAATCGAACCAGTAGAGCTGTAGATTTAATTGTTCAAAGTTAAAAAGTAATCTCCAACTTTTTTCACCAATAACAAATTTGAGGTTGCTTGGCGTATTTGGAAATTACTTTTAAATGGTGAGGAAACCGACCAAAGTGGAAGGAAATATTCCTAAAGAGGATACAATTTCCTACAATTTACTATTATGCATTTCTTGAAAATACTCAGTAAAGGCAGCCAAAAATTGCCTCAAAATAAAAAAATATGTTAAAATCCGTTATAAATGTAGTCAATAGACATAACAAACGGGGATTTTCATTTTTTTCCATTCTGGCAATTTTTGGCTGCCTTTACTGATTATTTTCAAGAAATGCATAATAGTAAATTGTAGGAAATTTTATTCTCTTCCGGAATATTTCCATCCACTTTGGTCGATTTCCTCTCCATTTAAAAGTTAATTCCAAAAACGTCAAGTAACCTCAAATATTTAGTGGTGAAAAAAGTTGGAGATTACTATTTTACTTTGAACAATTAAATCTACATTTCTACTGGATGGATTTGGTAATAATATTAAATAATGTGTCTTTGGAAGACATAAACTCTTTGAGTTGATTTTCCATCTGATGTGTGTTTTATAGTGATAAGTTTAATAGTATAAAATTTAGAAAGCGTTAAAACCAGACTATTCATTTTGAATCACCCGGTATATGTGACTTCCTTGTATCTCCAAAGTTAAATAAAACCTTCGTTTGACATGGTAGATGTTATTGAGAGCGCATCGTATGCTGATCCTTAAGGTTATGATCCCAAGTGTTCGGAGCGTTTGATAGAGTACTGACACAAGAGCACTTAATCTTTTTCTAATAGAAGCTATTTTAAAAGTACCATCTTAAAAAGGATATTCCCTTTATTTTCTGTCTCTTACACCCTTACATATGCCAGAAAGATCCACCATTTGTAGGCTGTTGTTTCTGGGAACAAAATTAAAGCCCATTACGAGGCCACAGAGTTCCATACCACTCCTG